AGTATTTTAAAAACAGTTGCTGCTGCATATCTAGTCCCTGGCATTGATCTTAATATAAAAGACTGAAACAATTTCAATAGCTATTACTATTACAGCAATTTCAAATTTTACAGTGTATAAGTTTTAAATAATTATCTGATATGTTTTTCACAATCTCCTTTAAAATTGGGTATATATTACCAAACCCATTTTAGAGTAAGTTATATACCTATTGATAATGCAGGTTACTTAATTCTACATCTGACTCCTATTCAGTATTATTCCAACAAGAATGTGAGCTGTAAGCCTGGTCAGTGTGGCTCAGTGGCTGAGCATCGACCTATGAACCAGGAGGTCACTGTTCAATTCCAGTTAGGGCACATTCCTGGGTTATGGGCTTGATCCCCAGTAGGGGGCAAGCAGGAGGCAGATCAATAATTCTCTCTCATCATTGATGTTTCTATCCTTCCCTCTCCCTTTCTCTCTCTGAAATCAATAAAAATATTTTTTAAAAAGAAGGATATAAGCTTAAGAGGCTAGTAGGAATTTTTGTCTGCTCCCAGAAGAGTGCCTGGCACACACCTATAGAAATATATGCTAACTTTCCTCTACAGAAATATGTCTAAGAAGACCAAACAGGGGAGGAAAATTAATATAAAACCTCCAAGGCTATTGTGAATAAGAGAATAATCTAATCTCATAGGAGAAGGGGATGGGGGGTGGGGGGAGCAGGAAGAGATTAATCAAAGAATTTATATGCATATATGCATATCCCATGGACTTAGACAACAGTGCCAGGAAAGCCGGGGGCTGAATGGAGGGGGCAATAAAGGGGGAGGGGGGAGATCTGTAATACTGTCAATAACAAAAAATAAATTTTAAAAATAACCTAAAATTGTTATATTATTCTGATAGTGTAACAGTACCTATATTTTATCTATCTTATGATATAGCATACAAGAAAGAATATATTTTTATAAAATAAGAGACTGTTTCAATATAATTGTATTAAATTAAGAGTTACTTAATGTGCATTCTTTAGCAATTTTATTAAAAACATCTTAATAGCTTTCCAAAACATATAGTCACTTATGAGTTAAAAATATAAAATGACTCATTTATATCTGACAAGAATAATGATTAACTCAAAAACAAAAAGACACAATGGGAAAATAATTTTTCTTTGCCAGAAGATAAATAGTAAAATATTTACACAACCCATTCATCCAAAGCAAGTAATATATTTGTGATATATTTCAGAATTATAAAATATGCCCAAAACTTTTACTGACAAGATCATCTTTACATTTATATTTCAGAAACTTGGTGTCCATGAAGATGGAATATATGTTTTATAAAATATTGCACATTATCTTCTTTGCCCTCTCTATACATTTAAACAAAGTTATAGAGTTATAATTGTATAGTTAAAATCATAGACTGTCTCTTCTTTTGACATTCACTAATATCATGAAAGTATTTGTTTAATATAAGGGCTGTTAACCTGTTTTTTGGGTAGAGGGTTCAGAAAATGCTTTTGAACTCTCAGAAAAGCAAGAAAAAAATATGTACATGCATTAAACATTCTACATTCATACACTGAGCAAAGAAGCTATTCTTATGGACATTTGCCTTAGAAGAATCATAGCCATTTCACTATTAAGAGAAATGTGTTCTTAAAAATTTGTTCCCGTGTTATTTACATTATTCAACATTTCTACAAAAGAACAATGTGTTTGTCAGTATTGTTACATAGGGAACAAACAATGATCATAAAATTCTGTTACAAATTTTTGGGTCAGAATAGGAATACATTTGATATTAAGAATTTTAACGCCAAGCTTCAGGTATTCTAATTCCTTTTTCCCCTCACACTAGTAGAAAGTGTAAAATATAATAAGGAAGATTTTAGTAATAGAACTAAAATCAACTTTAATACTAAGACACTGGAACATACTAGTTTTAAAAGTAAAGAAGTCACACATCAGCATAAGTATATAACCATTCATGAAAAAATGTTATACTAAGAATTATGGTGAAATATTACCAACATGGCCAAATATCATGTTTTTCTATTAATACATTTCCTTTTATTAAAATAATTACCAAGTTTTAACGATGATTCTAATGAATGGATACTTTTCAAAGCATACAAATCATTTGGTATTTAATATTATATCCATGCTCTAATTTCATCGACATTAAGCTTACCTTTCCTTTTGGTCCAGACTGCTTAAAACATGAAAAAGAAAAAAAATGTAAGAGGCAAGACCTCATTTTTGATATATCACTGTAGTTTTAGTAATTGTAAATAAGGCAAAACTCTAATGTGATTAATTTGTTTTAAACACATTATATACTATGTTTTGAATCTTGTCAGATATATAAATTGTTTTTCAATTTTTGTGAATACAGAAAATACTTTATATCTAAACATATTTAAAGAAGAAAAAAGGATATACAAAAGTATGAAAAATTCTTGAAAGCTTTAATTAACCACCCAACATTTGAGTATATATGTTATTTTATAGTTATATAAATAATTCAAGAAACAACACAATTTCCTGAAAGTTATACAAAAATTTAGTGGTTCCGCCGAAACCGGTTTGGCTCAGTGGATAGAGCGTCGGCTTGCGGACTGAAGGGTCCCGGGTTCGATTCCGGTCAAGGGCATGTACCTGGGTTGCGGGCACATCCCCAGTGGGAGATGTGCAGGAGGCAGCTGATTGATGTTTCTCGCTCATGGATGTTTCTAACTCTCTATCTCTCTCCCTTCCTCTCTCTGTAAAAAATCAATAAAATATATTTTAAAAAAAAATTTAGTGGTTCCAACCCTGTTATTAGATGTGATTATTTGCTTCTGAGCAAGAAAAAGAAAATTTAAGGTTAAACTTTTGCACCAAAGCCTTAGTATATGGTTTGGGATACAAGGAAAGGCGTGGGATAAGGTCATGGCCTATAATCAAAATCCCAATGTATAAAAGATCCACCTTTTTGCATAGTTCACAGAAAACATAAAAAGCTATCAACATCAATTACTTAAAAGTAACGTTATAAAAGCCCTCAATTTAGAATAAAATTCACATTCTAGAAATACTCCTCTTTACTATAAAAGGAACTAAATATTCAGAACTAAGCAAAACAGTTCGCAAAATCCTTAAGTCCCCATATTAACTCTTGTATTCCTATCATGTGGAACACACAGGTAAAACCAATTTAATCCTAGCAAAAAAGAAAAAAAGAAAGGAAGAAAAGGAAATATGGTAATTTGATTTTACAAAATTGACATTGAAAAGAAATGCTAATTTTTAAAATATATTTTCAATAGTAAGAAAAGCATTACTATAAACTTACATGATGCCATATTTCAAATTTTACCTTGGCTATTTAAAAAAATGGAACGATTTGTATAAAATAAGTTTATGTTGTATAAATAACAGAAAAATGAGGGAATATGTAATATATCTAATTTATAAGTCATGGAACATCTATAATTCCCTCAATATGTATTTATTATCAAGTCCTGCCCTAGAGGAGATTACATACTTTAAAAAAAAAAAAGCTTTTAACAAATGGGAAGGAAATCTAATTAGTAATGTAGGACTTTGTAAAAATGTCAACTTATATTCTTGTTGGGCTATCTCATTCTTGAACCAGTGATGTACCAGTGCTCTTAAAATTTAAAAGAGAAAGAAAAGAAAACAAAAGAAAAGAAAAGAAAAGAAGACTGACTGATTCTGGTGTCCATGACTTGATTTAGGACTTCAAAAATTCATTCAAAGTAGTGCTTTTCATTAATAATTAAATCTTGCTTATTCCAGGAGCCCATTTTCCCATTTATGGTGTATAAGTGCTTTTGTAGATATTCATTTTCCCCTATGAGCCTTACAAGTCTTTTTACCTACCCTTAATAAAAACAAACAAACAAACAAAAAACCAAAAAGTGAAATGTAAATAAAACATAAACCACTAAATGTGCTTTTGTAGTAAGACTGATGAAAACTAGAGGTGAAGATGGTATCGAGTTATATACATTTTTTAATTTTGGCTTTTTTCCATACCAAATACTACCCTCCTCCTCCATCACTGTTAGTAAATCAAGAACTCATCTTTTAATATGAATTAAATTAACATTTGAAATAGCAGTAAGAATATAGACTGGAATCATAATATTCTCCCATAGAGTAGCTAATTTGATCTGATACTTTAACAATCTTCATTCATTTCTTTTAGATTAAAAAGGTGTGACATACTTGTTTCCATATTTTATTCAAAAAGCAGGTCTGATTTATTTACGAGATAAGTTATACCACACTCCAAGAAGAATAGACTGTATGTGTGAATTACTAACTGGTAGCATTTCCTTTAATTTCAAATTAAGGGTTGAAAAAATAAAAATTAGGAGAAGCTATAAAAGCCAGTGTGCTACCCTCACCTGAGGCCTACACCAATTAAAACCAAGAAGCAACTATCTTTGTTTCATGACTTTGAGTATGTGGTTTCTACTGCATGCAGTGTTCTCATTTATCTAGTAGACTCAAAAGTTACTTTAATATTTCCTTTGTGAATTTTTTACCCTTCCCTTTTCTGTAAATAGTACTACACATACTTTGTATATCCCTACTACTGCAATTACCATGCAATTGTTTGTTCACTTGCTTTCTGACCTCTTCCTTCATCAGACCTGAGCTTTAAGGCAGGGACTTTGTCACATTCATCTTTGACTACTCTGTACCTCACCTATGCCTGGTATGTAGTATGAAATGAATGTTTTGAAGGAAGAAAATTGGAAAAACTCTCAATGACTTGTCTTTGAATTTTAAAATATTTTTAATGACAGTTACGCTGCAATAGGAGGTATAAGAAATGTTTATTCTATAAATAGGAATAAAAGTAGAAATCTAAAGCTTTGCTGCTGACAAAACTTTGTGTTTTTCTTATTGTCTCTAGTTTTTCTTGTCAAGTACTTTAACTCAGGATTGTTTCTTTAAATATAAACTAACTCGGGTTTTATTTTTTTATTTTTAAGAAACATTTTACTAGTGAATATCAGTTCCTATTAACAGAATCTAATCTTTCATAAACATGAGTAATGGTACACATGCATGGTATAACAAGTGTGCAGAACAGGAATAAAACAAAACAAACCAATTTCCAGAATAAAGTCCGTTTTTTAACATAACCAATGAGAAAAGGGGAATTAGGAGAAGTCATAGTGTGAATAAATTCAAACTAACAAACTTCAAAAGCAATAATAATATTGGTTGCAGAACATATCACTAGATCATAAATTAGTATTTCAACTTAGAACACATTTTCAGAATATCCAGAACACAGATCTTCACCAGCATTGGAATCTATCAATGTGATCAATGTGTGAGAAAATTATACCTCTCCTTCTTCTTTTCCCCTAATTACTCTCTTTTTCTTATTTAGTCTCTTGTTTGTGCCACATGTAGGCCAGAGAGCTTGATTTGTTTGTGTACTTTGTAATAAAGCAAGCCAATTTTTGGTATGTGCAGTGACTTCTCTTTCTTTTTAGTTGAATTTCCCAAACGTTTTATGTGAAAAATAAGATTAAAAACTAATATATTTTAGTAAAAACGGGTTTTCTTTACTATCCTAATACATGAGAAAGATTTAAGATTTTTAAGTAGCCAGCACCGGTTTGGCTCAGTGGATAGAGCGTCGGATCAATAAAATATATATATATTTAAAAAAAAAAGATTTTTAAGTAAAAAATATGTTATAGAAACTCTATGTAAATAGTAAACATAACAACGGTTTATAATAGGACATTTTCTGAATGAGTAGTAGCCTAGATTAGTATTTTTAAATAATGAGGAACAGCATCTAGCATATATACCAAATCTTTAAATTTTACTAGTTATAAAAATTTTTATGTAACAATTCATAATGCAAAAAATAGATTATTTAATTGTTGGTGTCCTAGAATTTTTAGTAAACTGAAATTGACTCAGAATTGAAATTTCATAATCATTTTTGGATGGTTATGAAAAACCTCATGCCCTGACCGGTTTGGCTCAGTGGATAGAGCGTTGGCCTGCGGACTGAAAGGTCCCAGGTTCGATTCTAGTCAAGGGCATGTACCTTGGTTGCAGGCACATCCCCAGTGGGGAGTGTGCAGGAGGCAGCTGGTTGATGTTTCTCTCTCATCGATGTTTCTAACTCTCTATCCTTCTCCCTTCCTCTCTGTAAAAAATCAATAAAAAATATTTTAAAAAAAGAGAAAAACCTCAAAAGCATTTAAAACACCAAGCTTTCCCCATTATTTCAAGATTCAAGTAGTACTTTCACAGCCACTGAGAACATCAAAATCTATTAAAACTACTAAAACACAAAATTTTCTAAAACATTTAAAACTAATATTTTGATTTACTTTGACACTATAAAATCCTATGAGCCTTATAGAGAAAGTAAGGTAATAACTGTAGTGTTACTCATCAGAGCTAAACTACCAGCTGAAGATTTCTCTATCAAATACTGTAAGTTCCAATGTAATAAAATCAGTGTAAGTTAACTGGAATATAATGCAATAAAATGGCTTTCATTTAAAGGACACATAGGACATACTTCAATGTGAGGTTGGGAGGACAAGAAGAGATAGACCAAAGAATTTATATACTTGTATGAATAGTCCATGGGCACGGACAATAGGGTAGTGAAGACCTGAGGAGGGTGGGTAGGGGCTGGGAGGGGGGCGGGAATGGGAGATATCTGTAATACTATCAACAATAAAAAAAGTGTATTAAAATATAATAAAAAAGGTCTCTGTGATTTATTCAAAAACAAATATAAAAGAATAAAATTCTATGACGAGTTATTTCAGAGACATGATTTTTACAAACAATAGAAACAGTAAAATTTCACAAATTTAAAAAAATGGTTTAAAAAAATAGTGAAAAAACTCCTATTAAAGGGCATGGTATATGTATACTAAACAAAGGCAATTAGAATCCTTACCTTTGAGCTGCTGTTTTTACAACTGGTGTCTGTGCGTTAGCATGATGAAAACATCTACCATCAATAACAGTTCCAGAACGTAATGATGCATTCTGTGTATTTTCACTACAAATTCAAGAAAAAAAAGAATAATTTGAACAAGGGAAAATTACATATACATATGCAAAATAAATCCTTTAAAATCCGAGTGCATGCAGAAAACCACTTAAAAAAATGTATAAACCCAATTGGCCATGTTAAATTGTATATTAAGAGTTTTCCACTTTCTGAATTTATCTCTGAACTAAGGGCCCGGTGCGTGGATTCGTGCATGGGTGGGGTCCGGCCAGCCTATCCAGCTTTGGCCAGGCTGGCTGGAGGGAGGAG